CTAGTAGCGTCCTTGCTACTAGTAGTAAGGCCAGGAGCCCCTAGTAGTGTCCTTGCTACTAGTAGTAAGGCCAGGAGCCCCTGGTCGCGTCCTTGCTTCTAGTAGCGATGCCAGGAGCCCTAGTAGCGTCCTAGAAGCTTCAATCCGCAAATTCCCGGGAAAGACAACGAAGTGGCCCCTTAGCAAGAAGCTGCGCACGAAAAGTTCGGAAGGAGGAAATTGCATGGTGCTCAAAAACACACCTGGCCCCAATGCCAGAAGCTCGAAAGCACGCACCAAGTCGTGACAAGGATTTCGAGAAAGCCACACATTCAGTCGGGTTTTTTCTCAAAGCTCCTTATTGTATTAGTCATCATAAGGATCTGAGCGAAAATAGGGGCAGGCTTAGCCAACTCATTACCTGCGACCAGCCAGTAAATTGTTTGACCAGCATGCTTTCTGGCACTCCGGCTTACGTGTCTGAAGCCCAGTCTCGAACTCGATGCCATCTTGAACTTTGGACTTCTCAGCTATGAAGAGAGTTCATAGGAACAAGTGCCTTACTAGTAGTAACAAGTGCCACACTAGTAGTAACAAGTGCCACGCTACTAGGAACAAGTGCCTTACTAGTAACAAGAAGCTATTACTTACTTTAATTTACTTTTAATTTCATAATAGCTTCTTGTTACTAGTAAGGCACCTGTTACTACTAGCGATGCACCTGTTACTACAGTTTTCGGCAGTCCAGAAGAACGGAATGAACGAGGTTCTCCTCACCTGGCAGTTCTTCACACGGCTTTCGTGGATGCATTTGTTCCTAGTAGCTTCTTGTTTCTAATAGCAAACATTGTTACTACTAGTAAGGCACTTGTTACTAGAAGCGATGCACTTGTTCCTAGTAGCTTCTTGTTACCCACATCCTCCAACCGCGCCTAGCAGCACTGCTGCATTTGTGGCTTCGGCTGCATGCAGCAACGGCTCCAGTGACCGCGTCGCTTCCACCTCACCCGTCGCAAGGTATGGACGGTGGACTCGTGGACGGTGCGGCCACGGGGCATCAATGTCGGCATAGACCTCGGGATGTTGATTAGTCTATGATGCCTGGAGGCTATTGATTAGTCTGTTGAAGGTACAAAAGAGGCTAGTCTGGAGGTCATTGCCATTAGGGAGGCCATCGCGAGTCGGGCTGGAGGCAATAGGAAAGTTTTAAAGTTAGGTTGGAGGTCGTCGCTGCAATAAGAAAGCTTAAACAAAGAGTGCCCACAATGTACAGTTTCATCTTCGGGCCTGGGGCACAGGCCCCACCATACACGGACAGAGCGACCAGCCGTGCAACATCGGCACGTTTGATCCCAGACCTGGGGAAGGAAGGGCAAAAGCAGAAGGAAAGGAAAACAAAAAGCAAAGTGAAGGAAGAAAGGAAGAAAAGAGGAAGGGGGCGAAGGTAAAAAGTGCAAGAACTGGTGAGGGGAAGGTGAAGAGTAGAGAGGGACAAAGAAGACCAGCAACTGCAACGAGAAGTAGTAAGTCAACCCCAAGGCCTCCTAACAAACATGAAGTGCGATGTGTTGGGTTTCAACTGGGCAATCGAGCATTCTGTCGTATTGACGCAGATGCTTTGGATACCTTGACCCAAGAAGAGCAACTTCAAGTGCCAAAGCCCTAGTTGAGACATGCTAAGACGCCTAGTTATGCCAACCAAAAATGGTGTCGAGCAAGTCGTAGACATCTATTGTCTATTGGGCACGGACATGAGACTATCCTAGTGGGCACGCAACATGCCGCTTTGCTCTGAGAATAGCTTAATTGTTACTAATAGTTTCTTGTTACTACTAGTAAGGCACCTGTTACTAGAAGCGTGGCACTTGTTCCTAGTAGCTTCCCCCCCCCCCCGCTTTGCTCTGAGAATAGCACTTCTCTGCCATAAGTCTCCGACCTGCCGAGCCGTTTCTCGACGCCATAAAGTGCCAACCGATCGCATCGGGCGCACTCGTTTGGTCGTCCCAGAACTCGAAGCGCCAACCTGCGCTTTGCGCTTGCTTGCTAAAGCGAAGCAGAATCCGCAAAGAAAACCTTAGAAGAACTACTAGTAAGGCACTTGTTACTACTAGCGATGCACTTGTTTCTACTAGAATTAGAATTTGAAAAGAAATGCGCTGTTTGTTTTCCGGAATTGATTCCAGATACTCTTCGCAAGGCAAACCGGCACCTGGATGAAGCCGGCGCCAAGACTGTAGATGGTTGCGGAACTTTGCAGGAACCTACTCCCCAAGGAGCAAATTACACTTTGATGCCGGTTTGACGCAAAACAAGCCAGCACTGTTTGTTCATAGTAGCGTCCTTGCTCCTAGTAGCGATGCCCTTTGCTCCTAGTAGCTTCTTGTTACTAGTAGTAAGGCCAGGAGCCCCTAGTAGCGTCCTTGCTCCTAGTAGCACTGTTTGTTCATAGCCGTTCATGTCGTCTACGGTGACGGCCTGGTCCGTCTTCCAAGTTTGATGAAGAATTCGTGGTATTTCCGGTGACGTCCGTGACGGCCTCTTTGTGAACTGTGAAACGTCTGTCATCTTCTCCGGTGCAGTCTGTGAAACGGCATCTTGCCTGGAAGGCCTCGAGGATGCACCTCACTCGTGGGACTGGATGCTTACACTCTTCCCCTAGCAAAAAAAAGAATGGAAACCAAAGTGATGAGCATCCATCTTGATACATCTTGCAATTTCTTGGGGGCACCAAGCCAGGAAAAGTCGCCCGAAATGTCATTTCAGGTATAACTGCGAAGAGAGGACACCATAGCAGACCATGCTCACGCGATCCTATGTAAAATCTGGGTCTCGAGCCTCCTCCCTCTGGAAAACGAGACTGGGATGAGAGTGCCTCCTGTGTTGCAGACAAGAGGCATGTATTAATATGCTTTAAGTGAAGTTTCCCAAAAAAATCTAGGAAACAATGAATAGTGCGGGGCTATCCTGCGTCCTAGCTACTTAGTAAGCGACCACTAGTAGCATGTAGCGAATACCGCCTAAAGTTAAGTTAAGTTTCTCTAAAAATCTAGGAACCAAATCATTAGTGCGAGCGCTTCTTCAACGAATCGTGAGCTATCCTGCGTCCTGTCGGTAGTAGCGTACTAGTAGCTACTAGCTACCTCTATCCTCCCAGCTACCTCTCTTCTTGCGGCCTACTCCCCTGAGCTTTAAAAAAACGTCTTAAAGAAAAAGGGGTTCAATCGGGTGGCTTCGTGTCGAGGGCTCGTCCAGTCGTTTCAATCGTCTCCTCAAATGCATTGCTTTGATTTGCCGCACGCCGCATCACTGAACCACGGACACGCACCACTGGCCTTGGCAAATATTGACATCTGATCTTTGATCACGCGAGAAAGTTGCAACCGGCCAGACTGCTGCAAAATTGCTGGGAACAATTGGACACTTATTAGACTTATCCATCTTCTGAATGCTGAGACTCTCAAAGGAAAAGTCTTGGGCATGCCAGTCCAGTCGTCTAAGCCATAGCTTGCGCCTGCATAGCTCGCATCACCAGGACGAAGTAACTTATATAGTAGGGATGGCCTCCAACCCAAGAGAGCAATGGCCTCCAACCCAAGAGAGCAA